TTATTCTGGGATACACAATGTTGGCAGCTCAGTACCAGGGCTCCATCTAGAAGCCAGATAACTAAATCCAGATCAAGGAACCAGACAGGCTGGGGAGGGGAGGTCTGTGAAACTTTTTCCACTGGTTTTACATGACACAGAATTCACATTGGTTCATCCTGACAGCCCTCTCTCCATGTACACTTATTTTTTGATTTCCTGCTATACCATAGCATAGGAGAGGTCACGGTTGGTGCAGGGTCCAATGATGGAATGGGGGATTCTGATTATTCAAACATCAATGTCCTAATCCATCATGACCAAAAGCATGTACTAGTGCCCATAATTCACAGGGTGTTGTAGCAATCTGGCTTCTAACCTCTGAGCATTTCTGCCACTGTAAAATGGAATTATACTTTATCTTCCAGAGTGTTGTATAGTCAGAAACACTACGAAAGAGACATAAATATCCCTGACACCTGGAGATATGTTCCCAAAATGGCAGTATAGACTGGGCAACTGGAGGGCTCATGGGGTCTTGGGAATCTTAGCAGATGTCAGGAGACTGGACACCAATGACCAAACGCCCCAGTGGGAAAACTGCACATCTCAGCAGAGGCTACTGGATGCCTCTCCTGACTGCTGCTGTAATGCTGTTTAACCCTGGCCGTCACATGTCACCCTGGTGAGCCGAGAGGAGGAGGACAAGTGTTGGACCTAAGTTGAAACTTGAAATGACTTAGTTCACCTGTAAGCGATTAACTAGATGAAGCTTTCTGCTTTTAGGGAGCACAGAAGCTTGAGTCACAAATCAAGTCAGGTTGTGGAAAAGGTTATTTTTTTATACACCTGAGTTTGCAGTCTATACAACATTGGAGCCACTACACAGGTACACACTTTCATATGCAGTGTGTGCTTACACACTAATATACACAGACCATGGGCATTCTCACATGCATATACCCAGCAGTGCATTAGTAAGTGTTAACACCCAGCTTTCTGGAAAACCACCACCAACTGAGTCATAGCAGTTACTGATTTCTGGGGTGTAAATACTCCCGCCATGGTAATTTCAAGCTATCAACTTAATTACACCTCATGGAAACTGGAGAGTTGTACATAAAAGTGGGTCTTTGTGAGCTGTGTGAGCTGGCTCCAGCACAAGTTACAGGTGCACACTTATGCATCTGCCTAAAAGTGTCTTAATACGCAGGCTTGCTTAGGTTTCTTCAATAACTGACATGTTAACTTGAAATCTGTAGACACATTAGTATAGAAAAATACCTGAGCATGTCATCTCAACTGTATGCATCTGTAGACACATTCAGTCACTTAGAAATATATACAAAGGCAAGTTCAAATATATTTTTAAAATACACACCTACACATAGATTGACACAGGCCAGGACATGCATATAAACTCATACATAGACAACCACATGCTCGGAAAAGAAGAGGGAATAAACCAACCTGATTTGCTCAGGTTGCTGCCCTTGCCTGAGGCCCCATATCCCTCAGGACAACTTCAGATCAAGGCAGATAAAGTCCTCTTCTTTCAGTTCCTTTAAATGGCTGAAGAGACTTGAAGGACAGAACATTTACGCCAGCTGTCTATGGCTGCCTCTGCACTCTGGGGACCCCAGGCATCCCTCGTCCCTTCTGGGTTGGTCCTGGCCATCCCATAGGCCGTCTTTCCCTTGCTTTGCAGATGCCAGCCTCAGAGTCCCACCTCCACCTTTAGTAAGGAAGACCCTGACCCTTGCCTCCTTCATTGTGGGAAAGTGAACTCCAGCCTCTCCCTCCTTCCTCATCCCAGATCAATGGCAGATGTCAGCATGACCCCCTCCTGGCTCCCTCCCTGTGACTCCTGCTCTGCCCCCACCCTTACTTCCGTCACTCGCTTATTTATCCCTCACCTGGGCCAATATCCAGCCTTCTAAGTGTTTTCCTTCTCCAAACTCTCCGTTCCCATTTGTCACCCTCTAAGTAACCTGCCAGATTATTTTAAAGCACAGGGCTGAGGTCACACATGTACCAGCAACTTCTAATGCAACACCAAGAGATCTAGTCCTTACTAGATCTCTTTGAGGGCCCCCTGACCACATATCCAACTCCTGCTTCCTCAGTTCACAATTTCACTTCTCTTTATTTTTTCTTTCTCTTCCTGTTCTGTTTTGTAAAATTAGTCTCTGCTGTGGAAATTGCTTGCTCCCTTCTTTAGTTCACAATCAGGCATTTACTACCCCTCATGTTTGCGGCACCATGCTTTATAGTTTATAAACCACTCTCTCAAAGCTATTTGTGAAGGCCAGGTGTGGTGGCTCACGCCTGTAATCCCAGCACTTTGGGGGTCAAGGCAGGCAGATCACAAGGTCAGGAGTTCAAGACCAGCCTGGCCAACATGGTGAAACCCCCATCTCTACTAAAAATACAAAAATGCTAGGCGTGGTGGTGGATGTCTGTAATCCCAGCTACTGAGGAGGCTGAGGTGGGAGAATCGCTTGAACCCAGGAGGCAGAAGTTGCAGTGGGCCTAGACCATGCCATTGCACTCCAGCCTGGGAGAAAAAAAAAGCTATTTGTGGAGCACTGAGCCCTGGACATACTGTAGAGAGTAAAAACAGATGCAGCTGATTAAGTCAATAAAATCTGTTGAGGGCCCTGACCAAAAGTCATCTGTTCCAAAATCTTAAGTGGATCTGTGAGGAAAGATATTTTATCATTGTCTCTCTTACCACTCTTGCCCCTGACTCCCAAACTATGGCCTCTCTGGCGTCATGGGGACAAAGCACAGAAGACAGAGGCTTGCAGATTCTTAAATAACTTTATCTAGATCCGTCTGGCTTCAAGTTAAAAAAATTTTTTTAAAGAAAACAAGTTGAAAAATTAAAAAAAAAGAACTGTATCAACCTTGTGAGCATCATGAGAGCAGCTACTGGGATGTTGCAAGCCCAGTGCAAACTTGGGTACCTTGCTATCATGTAACATCTTGAATTTCCTTCCCTTTATATTAACTACCCACACATAATAAGCCGCATCTATTATCTGTGTGAGCCTAGGCTGATCACTTTGATTTCAGAGCCTCTATTTCTTCATCTGTAATATGTCATTAGAAATCTGTCATTCTTGAGCCATCACCTCCTTGGCATCATGGCCACCCTTAGACCCCTTGTGAAACCCAAGATTGTCAAAAAGAGAACCAAGTTCATCCGGCACCAGTCAGACCAGTATGTCAAAATTATGCGTAACTGGAAGAAACCCAGAGGTACTGACAACAGAGTTCATAGAAGGTTCAAGGGCCAGATCTTGATGACTAACACTGATTGCGGGAGCAATGAGAAAACAAAGCACATGCTGCCCAGTGGCTTCTGGAAGTTCCTGGTCCACATGTGAAGCAGCTAGAAGTGCTGCTGATGTGCAACAAATCTTACTGTGCTGAGATCACTCACAATGTCTCCTCCAAGAACCACAAAGTCATCGTAGAAAGAGCTGCCCAGCTGGCCATCAGAGTCACCAAACCCAATGCCAGGCTGTGCAGCGAAGAAAATGAGTAGACAGCTTACATGCATGTTTTGTGTTTAAACAAAACTGTAAAAACTGCAAAAAAAAAAAAAAGAAAAGAAAAGAAAAAGGAAATCTGTCTTTCTCGGCCTGCCACAGTGGCTCACCCATGTAATCCCAGCACTTTGGGAGGCCGAGGCAGGCAGATCACTTGAGGTCGGAAGTTCAAGACTAGCCTGGCCAACATGGTGAAACCCTGTCTCTACTAAAATTATAAAAATTAGTCAGGCAATGGTGGCACATGCCTGTAATCCCAGATACTTGGGAGGCTGAAGCAGGAAAATCACTTGAACCCAGGAGGCTGAGGTCACAGTGAGCCGAGATTGTGCCACTGCACTCCAGCCTCGGCCAAAGTGAGACACTGCCTCAAAAAACAGTAACAACAACAACAACAAAACTGTCATTCTCATAAGGTTTTCAGGATGATCAAACAAGATAAAGGTACATATCAAACAAGATGAAGGCACATAAAATAGCTTTAAAGAATTATAATGTACAATATAAATGTATTCATTCAATGCCACTTTCTTCTTTAAATCAATTAGATGGCCATTATTTATTTCATAAATAGGCACTCAGTGACTTTGAAATATTATGGTCCAGATGGAGACAAAACAGGGTTCTACAACAGAAATATAATGTGGTCACAATTTTATATTTTCTAGTAGTGACACTAAAAAAGATAAATCAGCAAAATTAATTTTAGTAATCTATAATCTTGACCTACTGTATCCAGAATGTTATCATTTTAACATGTGATTCATACAAAAGTTACTCTCTTTTTGGTACTAAGTCTTTGAAATCCTGTGTGTCTTTTACATTGACAGCACATCTCATTTGGGACTAACCACATTTTAAGTGCTCAGTAATCATATACGGATACTGTGTAGGACAGCACACACTAATTGGTTATGTAAACACAAATTAGTTAAGATCTGTGAAGTACTTTATGGCTGCCAAAAGTCTTCTGGCATTTGAATTTTGTGTTAGCCCCAGCAGGTGGATATTTAACATTTCCATTTTGTAGAGGAGAGACTGCAGCAATTATCTGTAAGTCACCTAAGATCAACCAGCTAGTAAATGGTGAACTTAATTCTTGTCTTAAACCTGGCCACTTTCCCTTTTGCTTGTCTAAACAAGCAATACAAACTTAAGTATTATCATACACATAGGTCCCTTGGCTCATTGCACCAGTGCAGGAGAGAAACAATTATTTCAAAATCCACCTACAATCTAGTCTTAAAAGATCCTGCCCAGTTTAATCCCACCAGAATCTATTAACTCTATTTTAAAAATGTATGTTAATCTTCCAGCTTTAATGTGCTGTGAATAAAAACACCATAGGCAGGTATTAAAAAAATCCTACCCTCCTTTATTATATTCTCCATCTGATATAGAATATATGATGTACACATATACCGCAAATGAATACATGATATAGTCTATCATATAGCGATTTACCTTTTACTCTTGTGAATTACGACGTGGTACCGTAGGAAATTAGGAAGCTTAAAAAGCCAAATTTTCTCACTAAAGCATAACCAGACACAGCAGGTTACCAGGGATTTCTCTACCAGAAGATGGCAGGCAGTCAAGGAGGACTCAGTTGGACCAGCTACAGGCCAGCTGATCTTCCCGAAGAGATGCCAAGGGCAGCTGACCGCCCTTTTGGCCCGCGAAGCTGTTCCTTGCAGGCCCAGAACTGCCCAGAGGAGACAGAGGAGGCCCTCAGGATCCACAGCTCTTCCTGACCTGGCCAGTATTTGCACCCCTGGGGATCCCCTTCCCTTACCCGACACAATGCAAGGACGTGGAGCGGGGTGGGGGCTGAAAGGCAATAAAAAACTTGTAAAGCCGTTATCTGCTAGTTCTCCCAGTAGGCTACGTCCCTGCAATTATCCTCCACAAGAACTAAACTGGGTGGGTGAAGGCTCCCTCCTCAGGGGTGCCGAGACCGCGTCCAGGGCTTGTCCCCGTTTCAGTCCCAGTCCCGTGCATTCACACGAGCGCAGGACAACAATTCTCCGCGGGTGTTCGTGTGTGACCGTGTGATTCGCCTTCGCCTGGCAGATGTCGGGTTGAACATTACAGTAATTTCTGTAACAGGCCCACGGGCGCAGGTCCCCGAGCCCACAGATTCACTGGGGTCTGGCCGAAAGTGCGTCACAACCTACGTGACCCAAAAACAGTGCGCACGCGCAGCGCGACGCAACGTGGGGCCGTCCGCAAATTCCGGGCGCTAAGGGGAGACAAGGCAGTGACGACCTTGTCTAACGGTCCGTCCGCCCCAGATACCCCTCTTTGGTTGCACCGTTTGAGATGAGGGTACATCTCTGGAAGCAGGATCCAAGAAAAAGGGAGGGGGCCGCGGCGGACCGCTGTCGGTCGGCCGGAAGGCGACGTCCGCCCAAAGCCAGCCTGAGGGAATGCAGGGATTCACGGGTCCTACCGGCGCCCCGCCCCGCGCATGCTCGCGCACTGAGAGTCAGCTGGCTGCGCAGGCGGTCACGGGACGCGGGGCGGTGCCCAGCCAGCTGGAGGGAGGGAAGCGTTAGGTCGGGAGGGAAGCGAACTGCTGGACCAGCGGCGACGGTAGCTGCAGCATGGCCGCGATCTATGGGGGTGTGGAGGGGTGAGTGCTGCCCGGCGGAGGGAGCCTGGGCCCGAGGGCGGGAAGGGAAGCCGTAACCAGGCTGGCAAGCTGCTGGCCTCGCGCCTCGGCTTCCGGGCACTTTGGGCTGCGGGGCCTTGCGAAGAAGAGGTGTGTGCACGCGCAGGGGCGCCGTGGCGCGCGCGGCCGTATGCCTTGTGGGGACTCTGCGTGTGCCACGGCCACACCCGGGTGGGGGATCCTTTGTGTTTCATGGCGGAACCACGCCCCTTTCTCCCATGAAAGACCCACTCCGCTGTCTTCAGTTGGAGAAGCAGCTCCTTTTCCCTATTCCTGAGTTCGGACGGAGTTTTGCAGAACAGGTGTCAGGTGTGAAATTGTTGAGCCGGGCAGGGTGGGGAGTGGGAGTGGGGAGAAGCGGGACAAAGATCTTGGCTGGAGGTTATCCGGGAGCTGGAGCAGCTGCGAGCCAGAGTGCTAGGTTGTCTTGATGTCTGAAAACCGCTCCATTCCTGTTGGCGTTCCATGCTGCTTACACTACATTGCATTTTTCTGCTCCGATGCTTGTTTACTGAACTTTTTGTAATAGCTCTGTCATTGGGTATGATTATGGACAAGATATTTGCCCTTTCTGGGCTTCAGTTAGCATATGTTCAATGTGAGGATAGGGATAAATAGGATCACTGTGCCCTGCTAGTGGCAACATTCTGTGAATCCGTGTGTGTCAAATCAGGGAATAATGGGGGTGGCTGTCCTCTCCGCCAGGGCACTGTACTTTCGAATCTGTGATTGGTTTCACTTCTCTGTAGCCACACGCCACTGCTGACCCACAGACCACAAAGTCTTTTTACATGAATTGTTAGGAATGATCTTTCCCATCCTTTATCTGTAGCACTTAAAAACAGTATAGGAGTCTGCATTCATTCTTGTTATAGTCATGTGTAAGATATGACCCGTTTCTTCCAGTTCGTCAAGATATTCTTTTAGATGTTTAATCTGCCACCTCATGTATTAACTACCCCCTTGAAATTTCATGTCTCTTTGAGTTTGATGAGCAATCTTCAGTGTCCTTTTCTGCCATTCCTAAAACTAATAATCTATAAAGAAACATATATCCCACCACCACAGACCTCCCTGTAAACTACTGTCGCTCCCGGTAATCAACATTTGAAGGTTTAGTTGCTTAAGTATGTATAAACTCACCCTGCCGTCTGGTCAGCTTTTCTCCCAAAGTTGTCTTGAAGACCTTGGCAGCTGTAGCTTGAAAGTCAGCCTTTAGCTGTTGTGACGGGAAGCAGAGATATACCATTTTCCTTAGGAGTGTTTGCTGAGTATTGCCTGTGCTAGCTCTGAGAGGATGAGTGATTGGGAGCATGACCCAGTGGAGCTTGAAGTCGGGTGGACACAAAGTCATTAAACACACTTCATACAGAGGAGTCTTTAATAACTTTGGGGGGACTATCAAGGTGTAACTAATGGAGACTTAACTAATTTGTGGGGGTGGGCCACACCTCAGAAAAGGTTTCAAGGACTAGGTGAAGTGTAAGTAGAGTCTTGCAGGATAAGAAGGACATCTCCAAGGCAAGAGGAGTGAGAATTATGTTTCAGTTAAAGAGCACACAAACACTGGACCACAGAGGTGGGTTTGGGAGCGGTGATTGAGTTTGTTGAAGCGGTCTCCTCCATCACACTAGGCTCTGCCAGTGTGGACAGCACAAGCTTAGCTCTGTTGATGGGTTTTTCCAAGCAAGACTGAGTGCCCTCTTGTGTTCTGTAGGGGAGGCACACGGTCCAAGGTCCTTTTAGTCTCAGAGGATGGGAAGATCCTGGCAGAAGCAGATGGACTGAGCACAAACCACTGGGTAAAAACCACACCGAGGGGACCAGAGGGCTTGGTTCTGATTTTATTCTCTGTAATTCCTGTTGAGGTGGTGGCTGGGGCTCATAGAGCAGCCTGTAGGGGCAACACAGCTTCTGCAAGCCTTTGTAACTCCTCCTTCCCTTGATTGGGGCCAGCTGATCGGGACAGACAAGTGTGTGGAGAGGATCAATGAGATGGTCAACAGGGCCAAACGGAAAGCAGGGCTGGATCCTCTGGTACCTCTTCGAAGCCTGGTGAGTCTGGGGTGGAGCCTGGGATTCAGCCATCAGTGACCCTGAGACAGGTTGCATGTTTGGATTAGATGATTTTGACAACTGTAGAGGGAAAGACCTCCAAGACTTAGTCCCTGCGGTCAAAACTGTCGTAATGTCACCTGTGTCATGGCTTTGCTTGCCACCTACAAACTACAAGTGTGTTGGAAGAGCTCAGGGCTTTGGAGAGCTGCTGAGACCTTGGTTTGAATCCCGGCTTTGCTGCTCATTATCTGTGTAACACTGTAGGTTACTTATCTTCTCTAAGCCTCAGTTTCCTCATTTGGAAAATATGGATAGTAGCTACCTCAGAGTTGTTGGGAAAGTCAAATGACATGATAGCAGAGTGGTTAGTATAGAGCCCGACCCATAAGCACTAATTAAATGTTAGCTGTTATTACTCCTGGCTCAGATCTTTCTCCCAAGCTGTGGTAGCTCCAGCTACTCCCTGAACATGCGCATGAGCTGTTCAGCAGACAGAGGCCACCCCATGCACACCAAACCAGGCTAACCTCTCCATCTCCTCTCACCTTGTCCCACTGCCTGATCTTTCTGTTAAGAGCACTAACTCTCCCAAGCTCCAAAACTGACATTTTTGAATCCCCTTTTCTGTCTATCCCCAGTCCAGGTTGTTCTTGCAACCACCGCCTTCTGAGGGGTCATTGTGTGGGGTGAAAGGAGGACTGGGGCTGGGTGAGCAGGGTATGGCTGGATGCGGAGAACAGGAATCAGGCATCAGGATGGGGAGGCGCTTGAGAAAAGAGCTGGGGCTGGGCTTCTGGACACTGGCTCACCTCCCACATGGCCTAGGGCCTATCTCTGAGCGGTGGGGAGCAGGAGGACGCAGTGAGAATCCTGATCGAGGAGCTGAGGGACCGATTTCCCTACCTGAGCGAAAGCTACTTAATCACCACTGATGCCGCCGGCTCCATCGCCACAGCTACACCGGATGGTGAGGAAGTGGAGGGAGGGGTGAGATTGAGAACTGGTTTTTTTGGGAAAGTCCCCTAGCTATAGCTGACAAAACTTGTTCTGCAGATATCCAGAAGGCAGCCTCTCCTACATTCCCCTCGACTCCTTTCAGTATCCTAAGTCTCTGCCAGAGCAAGGACCAGTCAGCAGGAGGGAAAGCAAGAAAGGTCTCTTAATGGGAATCCGAGTAGAGTCAAACAGAACTCCCCTGTGGATGAGGAAGCCCCTGGGGGTGGTGTGATGAGGAAGGCTGTCAGTGCTGAGGAGGAAGTGGGGTGGCCCTGTGAGAGTGCTGGTGTCATGGGATTGGCGTTTGAATCCCAGTTCCTGGTTTGCCAGCTATACTATCTTGGTGAAGTTCTAAAACTCTGAGTTTCAATGTCCTTATCTATAAATAGAGGTAGTTGTATTCTAAGGTGGTTTCAGGTATGAGTGAATATCACTGTGAGAACAGGGTCTAGCACCATCCCAGTAAAGCAGGCAGAGTTACTGGAAGGCTGGCTGGGCAAGGAGCCACCTTCCCTCTGAGAGGTGCAGGCTTGTGTTTCTCTTTGTCCCCCAAGACAGGGGCATTATGGGATTGGAGTTTTTCTGAGACCCAGGCCCTGACCCTCAGGCAGGAAACTAGCTGGGCTCAGTTTTCTCCTCTACAGCTGGGTGGTGATTCCTTGCCTGGGGCTGGTTTCTGTCCTGTCTCCACAGTTGCAAGCTGTTGCTCTGTGCCAGGCCTTGGCCACACTGAGCCTCCATTTCCTTTCCCCAGGTGGAATTGTGCTCATCTCTGGAACAGGCTCCAACTGCAGGCTCATCAACCCTGATGGCTCTGAGAGTGGCTGCGGCGGCTGGGGCCATATGATGGGTGATGAGGGTTCAGGTGAGCTCACTGACCAGCCCAGCTCCAGGTCCTGGATCTGCCCCTTCCTTCATTCCCCATCTTTCTCTCTCTACCCTTGACTCTGAGCCTTTGGGGCTTCCTGGAGACAGCTTCTGAACCTAGCCCATTCCACGTGCAGGGTGACTGAGATCATAGAGGTGCAAATGCTGGACTAGCTGCTGACCCTGCTCTCCAGCAGTGACTTGCACCCAGGACTCAGATTCATCCCTCAGCACAGGGGCCTGTCTGTGTTGGCTTGGAGTCCTTAGGGAGAAGTTGAAACTGAGAGTAAGGCCATAGATGCCAGGAGCTGCCATACCAGTCTGCTAGGGGGAAAGAGGTTTAGAAGCCGTTGCCACCATCACCTCTCTATAGGTAGCATGTGTATATTTTCATAGGGACCCTTGAGGTCCAGTTCATGGCAGTGACTCCAGTGCTGTTTGTGACAACAGACTGACCTTGTCTTATCTTTGGGTAGGAGCTGATAGCCTCACCTATTCTGTCTTGCCCTCCAATTTTCCCTTATCTTGGTCGGTCAGATACAGTTTGATTAGAAATGCACCACTCCCCCAACAACCCCCGCTGGGAATCAGAAAACCTGATTTGTATAAAACTCAAGATCACTAACCTGTCTGGATCTGAGTTTCCTTCCTCGTGAGCTCAAGGTGACTGCTCCCATCTTAGCCCTCTCTGCTTCCTGCAGCCTACTGGATCGCACACCAAGCAGTGAAAATAGTGTTTGACTCCATCGACAACCTAGAGGCGGCTCCTCATGATATCGGCTATGTCAAACAGGCCATGTTCAACTATTTCCAGGTACTCCTCCTGCTCCCAGTAAACACTCACACCTGGGGAAGGGCAGTGAAACACTCCAAGTAAGAGTGGATGCAGGGGGTGCCTGGGTGGGCTGGCAGGAAATAGGATGAGTTGTGGATAAGGACAGGGTTCACAGTGATGTGGGCAGTGCATTCTAGGAGGGTGTCAGTCATGAGGAAGGGGTGGTTTAGGGACAAGTGATTAGCCAGACTTCATTCCTGGGCAGCTAGAACCTACTGGGAGGTGAAAACAATGGCATTCTAGGCTAGAATGAAAAGTGCAGGTCAGGGGCAGAGATAGCAGGTAGAGTATGATGGACGCCCTGGGACATGAGCTCTTCTGGTCTGTTTGGGTCAAGAACCCCTGAAGAGGTGGACAGGAAGAGCTCGGGGGGAGATGCATCATCCTCCCCAGGGCGTTGGGGATTGGCTATTCTTATCTGTGCTGTGTTCATTTGCAGTAAATTAGGAAGCACCTGCCTTTAGCGGAACCAGAGGTAAAAGGCAGAAGAGAAGGTGAAAGGAAGAGGACAAGGCCAATCAGTTTATTTGATGGTTACCTGTAAGGCCAGTTAGTCTTTCTGTCCAGCCATATAGGTGGACTGGGGCTGGGGCCAGGATGAGGACCAAGGAAGGGAAATAGAGATGATGGAAAGTAGGGCCTGGATTCTCAGAGCTGAGGAGCCCTGGCTAGGCCAAGGTGAGGAATAGGGAGGGACCAGGAAGAGAAATTGCTGGATGAGCAGGTGTTATAGGAAATGCATTTAGAAACTATTAAGCTATCCCGACTCAACCAATTGGTTCCAAACTCCACTGATATGTCACTCCTCCCTCTCTATCCTTTAGTCATTCTTACAGGGTTGTGACAAAGATCAAATGAGATAGTATATACCATTGCTGAGTACATTGCTGTAGGTACTCAAGTTTTACCACCCACCCACTCAGACAGTTACTTAAAATATATTCTGGGGGCCGGGCATGGTGGCTCACGCCTATAATCCCAACACTTTGAGAGGCCAAGGCTGGTGGATCACTTGAGGTCAGGAGTTCAAGAGCAGCCTGGCCAACATGGTGAAACGCCATCTCTATTAAAAATACAAAAATTAGCCAGGCGTGATGGCAGGCACCTATAATCCCAGCTACTCGGAGGCTGAGGCAGAAGAATGGCTCGAAGCCAAGAGGCAGAGGTTGCAGTGAGCTGAGATTGCAGCATTGTACTCCAGCCTGGGTGACAGAGCGAGACTGTCTCATTAAAAAAAAAAAAATGTATTCTGGAGAACCACTGGTTCCTCAGGACCTTAGAGGTGTTAAAGGTGTGTAAGTTTGTTGGAATTGGAAAGACCTACCTTCTGTGGTCAAGTAAGTTTTGGGAGAAACAAATTGATTTCTTGATTGCAGAACTTCTCAGAGCCTTTAATTTGCTAATGTGCATTATGACTCCCCATGGGAGAGTTTCAATATGCAGTATTCCTTAGATTCCTTTGACCAAAGAATTTTTTTCAAGAAAACCCCAACCCAGCTACTCAGCAGGCTGACATGGGAGGATTGCTTAAGGCCAGCCTAGGCAACAGCAAGACCTTATCTCTAAAAAGAAAAAAAAAAATTACAAAAAAAGAGCAGGTTAAGAAACTGTAGAAAACACTTCGGTGAAAACTATAGAAAACACTGTTCTCTGTGCTGCCTTAAAACTAACCTGTAAAATAATGAAATCCATGTTGGGGAAAATAAAGAACTTTTCTCAAATGAGAAATCTCAAATCTTTGTATTTTGGTGTTTAAAAAAATTATTCTAGCATTTCCAACAGTAGAGACATTAGGAAGGCAAACTGTGGTGGACAGATTGGGATTTTCTTTTGCTTCTGGTGACTCTCTCGTCCCCTTTCTCCATCTCTCAGGTGCCAGATCGGCTAGGAGTACTCACCCACCTGTATAGGGACTTTGATAAATGCAGATTTGCTGGGTTTTGCCGGAAAATTGCAGAAGGTACTGGAGGTGGGGTGGGTTTTATCTGGCTTTGTTCTCCAAAGACATCCTCAGTTGGGGGATGGAGTGGGGTTCAGACAGGACTGAACAACAAATTTCCTCTCACTAAGTGACCTCAGTTCTCCGCCATCACTGACCTTGGTGGTCGTGGGCCTCGGGTTGGAGGCAGAAGGGCACATGGGTTGTGCTGAATTTTGTATTACCTGTGTTTTTCTCTGTAATAGCTATCATGGTTTGTGTAGGCGGTATGCCTGTTTATGAAACAGTGGTCATTTGGACACATCTGTAACTTTTTTCCCCTAGCCAATTATGCTCAAAGAACTAGGGGATTTTAGGGAGGTTAGGCATATTTTGTTGGGTGTCAGGGGATGCTGAACAGAGGGCTTATATGTCTGTATATTACTCTTTCTCTATGTAAGGCCCATAGTGCCTTAATTTGGGTTCACTGCAGCCTCAGGGCATTCTAGGGCTCTCTTAGATCCTGCTGGACTGAGTCCCTTCTGGAAGAGAGCCAGGAACAGGCTAACCAACAGCAGACTGTTGGAAGTGGGTGGAAGGCACTGACAGGAGTATCAGCCAGCTGTTCAGCTAGGGTCCTGGGTACCCAGGGCTGACACCCTCATAGGAACAGACTTAAAATAATTCATTGTGAGCTGGATACACACCAGGTGCCAGGACACTCCTTTAGTGGCAGCTGCCCTCCCTTCCTGAGTTGGGGACCTGAGTGAGCACCTCCATACAGGGCACCTCTCCACAGAGGGGGGTAGCTGGTGTGTGTGTCAGTGGAGACTTGCTTCTGCACCTGCTACGAGGTGGGCATCCATCCTGCAGTAGACTCCTGCTAGCTTAGGGTGCTTCCATGGTGGCTCCCTTGCAATAGAGAGAGAATAGCTTAGGACTGGCAGCTCCCTCGTTTCTCACCAGTTCCCTTCTTCCATCCTCCCTACTCCAGGTGCTCAGCAGGGAGACCCCCTTTCCCGCTATATCTTCAGGAAGGCTGGGGAGATGCTGGGCAGACACGTTGTAGCAGTGTTGCCTGAGATTGACCCGGTGAGTTGAAGTGTGAGTGAACGTGGGGAGCTGCTGGGCCAGGGGTGGTACTTTCCCACTGGGGGTGGGACTATCCCATCAAACCCTATGTAAGTTGGATACTATTTTAAATGAACTTAGGGTCTGAGAAACATTCTACAGAATGTTGATAACAAAAAAGTTCTTTGGTCAAGTGCCCCCTTCTGTAATTGGCCTGTAACCTATATTTATATATAGTAAATTGGTTTAATGTGCATGTGTGCGTGTGTCCCCTTTCTTTTTCTTTTTTTTTTTCTTTTTATTTATTTTTTTTGAGACAGGCTATTGCTCTGTTGCCCAGGCTGGAGTGCAGCGGTGCAATCTCGGCTCACTGCAACCTCCGCCTCCTGGGTTCAAGCGATTTTCCTGCCTCAGCTTCCTGAGGTGATGGGACTACAGGTGCCTGCCACCACACCCAGCTAATTTTGTATTTTTAATAGAGATGGAGTTTCACCATGTTGATCAGGCTGGTCTCGAACTCCTGACCTTGTAATCCACCTGCCTCAGCCTCCCAAAGTGCTGGGATTACAGGTCTGAGCCACAGCATCCAGCTTCTTTTTCTTTTTTTGAGACACAGTCTTACTCTGTCAGCCAGGCTGGAGTGCCGTAATGTAATCTCTGCTCACTGCAGCCTCTGCCTCCCATTCCACCTCCCAGGTTGAAGCGATTCTCATGCCTCAGCCTCCCCAGTAGCTGGGATTATAGGCATGCATCACCATGCCCTGCTAATTTTTGTATTTTTAGTAGAGACAGGGTTTTGCCATGTTGGCCAGGTAGCTTTCGAACTCCTGACAAGTGATCCACTCACCTCGGCCTCCCAAAATGCTGGGATTAAAGGCATAAGCCACCATGCCTGGCCTCTCGCCTTTCTTTCAGTCATGTTTCTGTTCATTTTCCTCACTTTTCTCTTTCCTTCCTCTCTGTTGTTGCTTAACTCTTTTTTCCTTCCTCTTCTCTCCTTGGCCTTTATGAGTCTCTCGTATTTTCCTCCCTTTTTTCCTTTCCTGAGTCTATCTTCTGTTTTCTGGCTTGAAGGAGAGTAACTGGGATAGGGTGGGTTGGTCATAGAAAATTCCTGCCTTCAGCACTGGAGAGGCTAGATTGGCCCCTGTATCCATTTTCTGCTCTCCACCTAGGTTTTGTTCCAGGGCGAGATTGGCCTCCCAATCCTGTGCGTGGGCTCTGTGTGGAAGAGTTGGGAGCTGCTGAAGGAAGGTGAGCCTGGGGGGAGGTGGGAAGGGTAAGGGCAGGGGATGGGGCTGGAGAGGAGGTGGCCTAGGAAAGCTTCTTGCCCCAGAGAGAACCTCCTCCCTGGACCCTGAGGTCTAGACTTGCCACTGATGCCCCAACCTCACTCTGCCATTGGGCCCTTTAATAATGTCCTATCCACCCTCCTTGAACTCTTGAAAAGATGTTGTATTCCAAATGATTTATTGACTAGTACCCACTTTTTTTTTTTTTTTTTTTTTTTTTTTTTTTTTTGAGACAAAGTCTTACTCTGTTGCCCAGGCTGGAATGCAGTGGTACAATCTCGGCTCACCACAACCTCTGTCTCCCAGGTTCAAGCAATTCTCCTGCCTCAGCCTCCTGAGTAGCTGGGACTACAGGTGCATACCACCATGCCCAGCTAATTTTTGTATTTTTAGCAGAGACGGGGTTTCACATGTTGGCCAGGTTGGTCTTGGACTCCTGACTTTCTGATCTGCCTGCCTTGGCCTCCCAAAGTGTTGGGATTACAGGCGTGAGCCACCACACCCAGTCTAGTAGCCACTGTTAAAAAGTTAATTAAAAACAGATCTAACTTGAAATCAGAGCACTGACTGGCGTGGGATAACCTGTGGTGACATCCCTAGTCAGCATAATCCTATCCAGAAGAAAAGAGGCCTGCCTTCTTAGCCCTGGCAGCCTTATGCTAGGCAGCTGGACGGTTTTCCCTGGACATTCTGAAGTAGCACAAGGACTCCCATTGCTACCATGGAGTTCCTGGCATTGGGTCCTCTGGAGCTGAGAGGAGGCCAGGCCCCCTGTGCTGCTGGCTCCAATACACAAGTACCCAGTGCACCCTGTGTGCCAGGGATTTGGCATGTGGGCCCCTCCAGCACCTCTACAAGAGTACCTCAGGGTCTGGGCATCCTTGTCTCTCTTCCTTCCTTTTCCCATACAGGTTGCTGGTCTCCTCTTACCTCTGTCCTTCTGTTCTTCCCTCCAGGTTTTCTTTCGGCGCTGACCCAGGGCAGAGAGATCCAGGCTCAGAACTACTTCTCTAGCTTCACCCTGATGAAGCTGAAGTACTCCTCCGCTCTGGGTGGGGCCAGCCTAGGGGCCAGGCACGTCGGGCACCACCTCCCCATGGACTACAGTGTCAATGCCATTGCCTTCTATTCCTACACATTTTCCTAGGGGCCTGGTCCCAGCTCCACCCACTCCAAGCTCAGTAGACACTGGGTCTGGAAGGAAGGAGTCCTTTTGCTTCCTTTTTCCTTTTTACAAAAACACACATGGAAGAAAATAAATGCACTTTATCCACTCCCCAATTGGACTGTGTTGTCCAACACACGTGCTGTGTACATCCTCAGTGCACCTCCCAGCAGATATCCCAGAAGGCTCAGGGTGGGTTTAGTCCAAGGTTTAAAGCCCTGCTCCCAGATGTGATCTACATCCACTCAGCATGCACTTGGGCAGATAATTTATCTGTTATACCCTTCCCCCCACATTACCACACATACACACTGTGTGGCTTTCACTTAACCTGTGACCTGTTTTCTCCTGTCGTGTCAAATGGGTAATGATCCCTGTGTGACAATCACCAGAACCAAGTGTCTACCATGCAGACCATCACAGGGAGTATCTTAGGCATATCACACCCCTCATGGTACTCCATAAGGGCCAGTGTACAATTCTAGACTAGAAGCATCCTTACCTCACTGGATTTAGTAACTGCAGGTAAGCAGGACATTTTGCCAGTTTTTCATATGAATGAGTTCTTGAAAGGTTACGAGGATTGCTGAGATCCAAGAAGACCAACTAGGCACCACTCACCTATTCCTGGCTACCACCAGCCTGGCTCTGCTTACAGCAAGACACTTGGTTTGTAGTTTGGCCCGGGGAATGAGGGGCATCAGTGAAAAGCAGACAAGATTCCTGTCCTCCAGATACCATAGTGCCACTGTGAAGACAAGCCTGAAGCTTCGTTCCACTGCCTGTGCTGCTTGGTGAAGACTGAAGACGACAGTCTTGATCCACAATAGCTGCCTCTCCAGCTGTTTTATGAGGAGGCATGGATCATGTCCTGCACATCCGTTCTCCAACTTACAGACATCAGTCATTGTAGAGTTTGTTTTAAAATCAGGTTTCTGTCTTCTCCCCTCCCCTGCCCTATGGTATCTGATGATAATAGGTTAAGGAGGGATGGGAAATTTTTATTTCTATTATACTAAACAGCTTGAGTAATTTCTGCTGCAGAGGTCCAGCATCTGCACTTGGAGTTCTTTGCTACAGCTGCTAAGTTCTGATTAGGCCCTCTAAGGCATCTTGAATACTACCTTGTCGCTCAAGTCAGGTGACACTGTTCTTTCACAGTGTAGCATTCATGTAGAACAGAAAGATAGTAGCTCTCCTTCCATCAGCGCTAGCTCAATGGTGCAAGCTAGAGTTTTGAGCAATAAGAACTCCAGCCAGGTCCCTTCTGAAAGAACAGCCAGCCATCTTCCCATCCACCTATGACCAAATCACTGTGGTCTAGCACTCAGGAAGTCTCCAGTCCAGCTCCTGGTAAAAAGCTTGCAGGGAGAACAAGGACACAGCAGAGCTATCTTTGCTATATCCCACAGTCCTGATAATGTTGGGTTATGAGGGCCAGGCTCGGTGGCTCACGCCTGTAATCCCAGCACTTTGGGAGGCCGAGGTGGGTGGATCACGAGGTCAGGAGATCGAGACCATCCTAGTCAACATGGTGAAACCCCGTCTCTACTAAAAATACAAAAAATTAGCTGGGCATGCCTGGGCACTACAGGTGGCGCATGCCTGTAGTCCCAACTACTCAGGAGGCTGAGGGAGGAGAATTGCCTGAACCCAGGAGGCGGAGGTTGTGGTGAGCCGAGATCGCGCCATTGCACTCCAGCCTGGGTAACGAGCGAAACTCCGTCTCAAAAAATAATAATGTTGGATTATGAATGAGTAGTGAGCTTTGGAGATTTTTTTAAATATACTCTCGGGATGAAGATCAAACAGTATTTTGGTGAAGAGAGTTTGTAACTAATACCTACTTTTGTTCTTCAGAAGATGGCTATCACTTTTCCTTAGCATTGTCTAGACTATAATTCCAACTGGACAGCGGAGGTATTAGTGGAGGAGCACATGTTGACTTTTTTGGTCTCAGAATATAACTGTTGAAAAAAGGCAGTATGAAAGTGCATAGGTCAGATGTGTTCCTAGTTCCTGTCATGTTTAGATTTGATGAGGTCGCTTCCTCCCCAGTTATTAAGCATTAAGTTATTACACAGCTTGTAGTGCAGAAAATCGTTAAGTTAATTTAATCTAACCTTTGACACGGAGTCTTGCTCTCTTTCCCAGGCTGGAGTGTGGTGGTGTGATCTCGGCTCACTGCAACCTCTACCTTCCCAGCTACTTGGGAGGCAAAGGCAGGAGGTTCAAGTGACTCTCCTACCTCTGCCTCCCAAGTAGCTGGAATTACAGGCATGCACCACCACACCTGCTAATTTTTTTTTTTTTTTTGTAGTTTTTTAGTAGAAAGGTTTCGCCGTGTTGACCAGGCTGATCTCGAACTCCTTACCTCAAGTGATGCACCCGCCTCAGCCTCCCAAAGTGCTGGGATTACAGGCAGTGTCCCTCAACAGGCTATCAGGAGCAATTCAGGGAATTCTGCATTTCCAAGGCATTAGAGATGTATACATTTGTCTCATATAAGTCAGTTACAGCCTGTGAGGAGACAAGAGAGCCTGGAATAAGCACTGGAATGAGGCTAGCACTGCCTTGTCTCCCTGTGTCATCTCAGGGATAGTGCAGTCTCATCTGTCTCATTCATTCAGCAAACTACTGAATGTCTTGTAGGTGTCATGAGTACTCCAAGCATTAAAAATAAGTAGACCAGGCTGGGCATGGTGGTTCATGCCTGTAATCCCAGCACTTTGGGAGGCCAAGGTGGGTGGATCGCTTGAGGTCAGGAGTTCAAGATCAGCCTGACCAACATGGTGAAACCTGTCTGTACTAAACATAACAAAAATTAGCTGGGCATGGTGGCAGGTGTCTGTAATCCTAGCTACTTGGGAAGCTGTGACAGGAGAATTGCTTGAAACCAGGAGGCAGAGTTTGCAGTGAGCCAAGATTGCACCACTGTACTCCAGCCTGGGTGACAGAGCCAGACTCTGTCTCAAAAAAAAAAAAAAAAGAATATACCAACCACCTCTTCAAGGAAGTTGCATTCTAATAAACCCTATATACACAAAAACACATACAACTATAGTATTTTAAAACACCATAAATAGGCAATTCAGCTCGGAATACCCCAGCCCTGCTGCTTCCATTTTTAGGAAGGAAGCAAAGAAATGATAGGCCTCAGAGCAAGACCAGCCCTGGGCTGGTCCCATATAGTTTTCACCATATCATGAAGCCCTTCAAGAAATCATTGGGAGATTGGAGCGAGGTTTAAGTTGAAATAATTAGGCATCCCCAAACCATAATCACAACAGCAGGGACTGTAGCTGCCTGGTCACCCCTGTAACCCCTGTGCCTAAAACAGTGCTTGACACGCAGCAGGCTGTGAAACTTGTTCAACAGCTGAAAGGCAGAAGTGGAATACTTGTTTCTAGGTAGGAGTCAGTTTTGCCCAGAAACAGGAAAACAAATGCCTAGTTTCCCTTCTAGCCCAAAGATCTCACTGCCTCTTTGTTCAAAGCTGTACAAATCATTGCCACTATTGGCTACTGTATATTAAGTGCCTATTATGTGCCAGGCAGTATTTTAAAATTCTGTCATTATAGTTCCAGGAAAGAGGTATTACACCTTTACAAATAAAGAGGTTATTTGTAAATAAAGTTCAGGCCAATGGCACCAAGTCGTGAAGGTGGGACTCACTCAGGTCTGACACTTCCAAGCCCATGTTTTACTACTTTGTAATCCTATTTGAAAGGAAAACTGAAACTCAGATTATGACCCATCCTGAGACAAAAAGTTTCACTCATATACACCACACATACCCCCTACCACCCCACAGAATGATGGCACAGTGACCTAACCTCTGGCAGAAGGGTACCACTGCCAGCAAATACACTATTCTCAACAGCTGCCATTTGGTTTGTATAACAAATTGTTTACAAAGTAACTGTTTTCCATTTTTGATATTTTATGAAAATTACTTTCTTCAGTTTTAAAGCCCTGTCCTTCCCCCCAATAAGGATTAATAAGTACCAAATAATTATTCAGGAAAAAAAACAAAAGCAAAAACAGCTTTTAAACACTTGTGAAACGGGTAAGCGTCCAAAGTCAAGACCTTCTGGGCCCAGTGGAGGTGCTGGCTGCCCGGGACACCAACAGCACTTCACCATCCACAACGTCCTGAAGGGCTGAGCAGCCCGGCACAGACCCTGGGGGCTTCCTGTTCCACAAGCTCCACGCCCTTTTTCCTCTTCATCTTTGCTATTGGGTCCCCCTCCAAATCTGCCCAACAAAGGCAGCAAGATCTTTAATACCTGTGCAACTTTGTAAATGAGACAGGATACTGTATTTAGAAAGCTGAGGGGCCCAGCGCAGTGGCCCAGACAAAATCTCCCTCTGTTGCCCAGGCTGGAGTTCAGTGGAGCAGTCTCAGCTCACTGCAGCCTCCACCTCCTGGGTTTAAGCAATTCTCCTGCCTCAGCCTCTCAAGTAGCTGGGATTTCAGGCACACAACACCACACCTGGCTAATGTTTGTATTTTTAGTAGAGATGGGGTTTCACCAGGTTTGCCAGGCTGTTCTTGAACTGCTGACCTGGTGATCTGCCCACCTTGGCCTCCCAAAGTTCTGGGATTACAGGCTCGAGCCACCATGCCTGAGGCACATGTTGTATATCATAAAACTCACCCATTTCAAGTGTACAATTCAGTGATTTTAGTAACTTTCCTCAGTAGCCATAATCATAACTCATTTTTGGAACATTTTTATCCATCCCAATAAGATCCTTGGTCTTTTACATTTAATCCTGTTCTCACCCCCAGCTTTAGGCAACCACCAATCTACTTTCTCTATATATAAATCTGCCTTTTTTGGACACTTCAAATCAATGGAATCATACAATATGTGGTCTCGTGTCTGGTTTGTTTTTTGTTTGTTTTTGTTTTTGTTTTTGTTTTAGAGGAGTCTTGTTCAGCAGCCCAGGTTGGAGTGCAATGGCACAACCTAGGCTCACTGCAACCACCATCTCCCAGGTTCAAGCAATTCTCCCATCTCAGCCTCCCAAGTATCTGGGATTACAGAATTACAGACACCTATCATCATGCCTAGCTAATTTTTATATTTTAGTAGAGACAGGGTTTCAC